AGCTGGTGCTGAGGGCGCTGAGCCTACTGGAGTTGGTGTTGCTGCTGACCCTGGGGTTGGCGCTGGAGGTGCTGGAGCCACTGGTCCTGGAGGTGCTCGTACTGGCGGTACTGGAGCTGCTGGGACTGGGGGTGCTACTGGAGCTGCTGGAGCTGGTCCTGCTGGGGGTGCTGCTGATGCTGCTGGAGGTACTGGAGCTGCTAGAGCTGCTGGTGGTGCTGCTGGTACTGGGGCTGGTGCTGCTGGAGGTATTGGTGCTGCTGGAGGTGCTGCTAGTGCTGGTCCTGCTGGAGGTGCTGCTGGTGCTGCTGGAGGTACTGGAGCTGCTGGTGGTGCTGAGGGAGTTGGAGCTGCTGCTGGAGGTTCTGGTGCAGTCTCTACTGGTTCTGGGGGGCACTTCACGGCCACAGCCGTACTTCGTTCCCCTCCTTCAGCAGGTTCTTGGTCCGCCGCCTCCTCCTTGTCCTGCTCCCTCCTTAGAGTGTCCTCCGCCTGTCCAGTCACTGTCACAGCTACCGCCTGCCTCGCCACTCCCTGGTCCTTCTCCCTACACTGGTCCGACAGGCGGTCTTACGGAGCGTCGTGAGCCTGAGTCTCGTCCTGTGTCGCCTGAGTCTTGTTCTGCGTCACCTGTTCGTGCTGCTCGCACTGGTCGTCGTGTCCCGCGTCAGCGTCCTCCTGCTGTCCCAGGCACTCACCAGATGACGCTTCGTCCTTCCACTGCTCCATAGCGTGTCCCGCTGCCTTCTCCTCCTGCGTCCTCTCTTCCTGCCCTTGCTGACCCGGAGTCTGACTCTCTTCGTGCTGCTAGTCCTACTGTCACGCGTCTCCTGGCCACTGCTGTCACTGACCCTTCCTTTGAGTCAGCTGCTGCGTCTGCCTTAGTTGCTGAGCTTGTCGACTTTGCTGCTCACTGTCGTCTAGACTACGCTGCGAGTCTTGTTGCTGAGTCTGAGTCTGAGTCTGTCTGTCCTCCGTCCGTCGGGGGTGAGTGTGCTCTTGGCACGGACGTCCTTGAGGACAGGCAGGAGGAGTTTGAGTGCTTTGCCGCCGCTGTACCTCATCTCGTGTCCATGCTGATTGCACCTGAGGGAGACCCGGATGCACCAAACATCCCAACCCCGCGCTCTTACGCTGAGGCGATCGCGGGTGAGTACTCCTCTCAGTGGCAGGCAACCATGGACGCAGAGATGGCATCCTGGAAGTCCACTGGCACTTACGTCGACGAGGTTCCCCCTCCTGGGGCGAACATCGTCAGTGGCATGTGGATTTTCAGGGTGAAGCGGCCGCCAGGTTCTCCGCCTGTCTTCAAGGCTCGTTACGTTGCTCGAGGCTTCAGTCAGCGAGAGGGAGTAGACTTCTTCCAGACCTTCTCCCCCACCCCGAAGATGACCTCTCTTCGGGTGCTACTGCACGTTGCCGCTCAGCGTGACTACGAGCTTCACTCTCTTGACTTCAGCATAGCTTTCTTGCAGGGCAGCCTGCACGAGGAGATCTGGCTGCGCCGCCCTCCTGGCTTCACTGGGTCGTTCCCTCCTGGTACCCAGTGGAGCCTCCGGCGGCCGGTCTATGGTCTCCGCCAGGCGCCACGTGAGTGGCACGACACACTGAGGACTACACTTGCGGCTCTTGGGTTCGCGCCTTCTACTGCTGACCCGTCGCTGTTTCTGCGCACCGACACTTCGCTGCCGCCGTTCTACATCCTCGTGTACGTCGACGACTTTGTCTTTGCCACTGCTGACACTGAGGCTCTCACCCTGGTGAAGTCGGAGCTGCAGAAGAGACACACGTGCACAGACCTGGGTGAACTGCGCAGCTACCTTGGCTTGCAGATCACCCGGGACAGAGCACGCCGCACCATCACACTGACTCAGTCACACATGGTGCAGCAGGTCCTTCAGCGCTTCGGCTTCACCTGGTCCTCGGCACAGGCCACTCCTCTGGCTACAGGTCACTCGCTCTCAGCTCCACCTTCGGACGAGTCCGTAGAGCCGAGTGGTCCTTACCCAGAGCTAGTTGACTGTCTCATGTACCTGATGACTTGCACTCGTCCTGAACTCGCGTACCCTCTTGGCCTTCTGGCTCGCTACGTGGCTCCTGGTCGGCACCGAAATGTGCACATGGATGCTGCGAAGAGGGTACTGCGCTACTTGTGCAGTACATCAGGCATGGGACTCGTGCTTGGAGGGAGGAGCTCAGTTGTCCTCACTGGGCACTCAGACGCTTCTTGGGTTGACGACCAGGCTACTCAGCGGTCGTCACAGGGTTACACCTTCAGCCTTGGCTCTGGTTCAGTTTCTTGGCGTTCTACACGTTCGTCTTCAGATCTCAGCTCCAGTTGTGAGGCTGAGATCTACGCCACAGCCATGGCTGCACAGGAGTTACGCTGGCTCACCTACCTGCTGACTGACTTGGGAGAGCGGCCTCGTTCTCCTCCAGTGCTGTACGTCGACAACAAGGCTACCATTGCCTTGTGTGAGGAGCACAGACTGGAGCACAGAACGAAGCACATCGCTCTGCGTTACTTCCTGGCTCGAGAGTTGCAGCAGCGTGGTCAGCTTCGTCTGCGTTACGTGGCCACTCGGGCCAACACTGCTGATATATTCACCAAGGCACTTCAGTCTGGTGATCATCAGCGTTTCTGCACTATGCTAGGGCTTGTGCCCACCTTTCCTCACTTGCTGTAGGCTTTGCTTGTATTGTGATCTATAGATATATATACCAGCATGCTTGCTTTGCTAGGTAGAGATCACTGTGCTGTTTGTGTTGCATATATGCCTCTGCATGTGGACTGGCCTTGTAAAAAATGTGTTCAGTGTACTGACTCAGTCCTATCGCGTGAGGGTTCGCATGCCCACCAGTTCAACCCTAAGCGAGATGGTTGGAAAGGAAGTGGTGGTGGGGCGAGCGCAGTGTTCTGTCGCGCACTGGATCGTTCGCCCCACCCAGGATCTTGGAAAGTGCTGTCGCATAGTCGAGTGGTGGGGTGGAGCGAGTGGGGTGTTCAGTCGTACATTGAGTCGCTTCCACCCTCTTCCCCTCGATGATCGGGAATAGCTATCGCAAAGTTGTTCCCGCTCGCCTGATTCTTCGCCACCTGATTTCGCTTTCGCCCCGCCAAGATTCTCGAAATTCTTGTTTTCAAGGTTTCGCCAACACTATTTCAACCTCACATAACTTGAAAGTTAACCATGCTGACCTCGGGCTTTAAGCACAAAATAACCTCTGCTAAGCCTTTGACCAATCTTGGTCTTAACGCGAAGGGTGAGACCTTATTGGCTGCAGAAATGGCACACCTATCGCATTGACGCTCTCTAGTCCGTGGCAGGGTGTCGGCGTTTTATAAAGTCGCACTCCAGGTCTGCAGAAGATGGGCGGGGTAGGCAAGCCTCGCACACAGTAGGATAGGAACTAGCGGTCAACTCCAAGTTCCATGTCGGGGTATTTTGCGGTTCGCCCGCCACCAACGAGCCGCCGCATGCAGCATAATGCTTACTTCATTTGATCTGCTACGTTCATTTGATGTCCATTCACGATCCACCCACCGTCGTATGCTCATAGGTTGCACACCAGCCATGCGTGCAGTGGCACGCAAGTCGGTTGCTCGTCATCCATCCGGTGAAGCCACTCCAGCTTCTTCGCGATGGTCCTCGCGGTGCGGCGATGTTTCGTCACACAGTTACCTGGTGATGGCGGTCACGTGCCATGGTCGACTTCGGGGCGAGATTCAGCGTACACCAAATTTGCAGGAAACGGCATGACAAAGAAGGGATGCCCATGAATTGAAGGGGGATTGGGTGGCGGGTCGGGTGAGAGGATATTGTCGAGGTCGATAGGTTCGAACACGTTGTCGAAATGCAGGTAGATAATCGGTGGTGCTGGTGGAGCTGGAGGTGCGGGTGGTGCTAGCGGGGCAGCAGGTGCCGGTGGCGCGGGTGGCGCTGGCGGTGTAGGACGGACGAAGATGGATGGTTGACTATGACCTCCAGTGGGTCCTCCTCCTCCTCCCCATCCTCCCCCCAGAGCCTTTGCAACCAGGCGCGTATTGTCGCATGTGCTCCCCCGCAAAAACATGTCTTCTGTCACGTCAGTTGTGCTCCTCGCGTGCAGGTGAGACATGAACAGGTGATTCTTGGTCCCATCGAGGTTGCTCGAAATATCGCAGGTCTTAAACGCATTGACAATGATCTCGCATAGACCTTGCTCTCACGCCTCTGCAATCCTTGTGTTGCCTCCGCAATCCTTGCTCTCTTGCTCTCTGGTCATCGCCGCCTGTATCTGCACTTCAGCTTCTTGGACTTTCTTATCCCTCGCTTGTCCGACCACTTGCTCCTCCCCTACCATCTCTCAAAGTCTACAGTCCCACATTTCCTCCCATTATCTCATCTCCTGCTAGTCTTTCTCCTTGTTCACAGCTCTTTCCCCCTCTGTCTGTTGACCCGACTTCTTACTCCCACCACTAAGTCTGTTGTCCCTCTCATGCTTGCCTCATAACTCCCCTTCCCGGTATCCACTCTATGCTCACCTCCTCCGTCGTCCTTTGCTGTCTCCTCTCCTCCATTATCTGGGATCCTCAAGGCCACTTGGCCAATGGTCTCCCATGTCTTTTCCCCCCTCGTTACTGACCCTGCCGCTCCTCCTCCGTCCGACTCTCCTCTTGACGATGCTTTCGCCGACTTTGCCTCCACCCGTTCCCTTACGCGACTCACTTGGTCTTTGCTCCTCCCCTTCTTCCGTCCATCAGAGGTGCTTCTCCCCTTGGCATTGACATCCTAGAGGACTTGTAGTACGAGCTGGTCACTGCTCCCCTTCTCTGTTCCATGTTGCTAGCTTATGAGAGTGACCTAGACGCTCTTGACATCCGAACCCCTCGCACCTACGCTAGGGCAGTTTCGGGACCCTAGGCCTCTCAGTGGATAGCAGCCATAGACGCAGAGATAACATATTGAAGGTCCACAGACACCTATGTTGACAGAGTTCCCCCTCCTTGGGCGAACATACTAGATGCAGCAGGGCGTACATGGCAGCGGGCCGCGCAGGGCAGAAGGGTGCACAGGGCAGCGGTCCGCACAGGGCAGTAGGGCATGCACGGCAGCGGGGCGCGCAGGGCAACAGGGCGCTCTGGGCAGGAAGGCGCGCAGGGCAGCGGTGCAGCGGGGCACGCAGGGCAGTGGGGCGCGCAGGGCAGCGGGGCGCGCTAAGCATCGGGCAGCAGGGCGAGCTGGGCGCACAAGGGAGCAGGGTACGAGGGGCGCGCTGGGCAGCAGGACGCACAGGGCAGCGAGCCGCGCAAGGCAGCAGGGCGCACAGGGCAACGGGGCGCGCAGGGCAGCGGGGCGCTCTAGGCAGCAAGGCATGCAGGGCAGCAGGGTGTGCTGGGTAGCAGGGCGCATAGGGCAGTGGGCCGCGCAGGGCAGCGGGCCGCGCAGGGCAACAGGGTGCGCAGGGCAGCGGGGCGTGCAGGGCAGCAGGGCGGGCAGGGCAGCGAGGCGCGCAGGGCAGCGGGGCGCTCTGGGCACCAGGGCGGCGGGGCGCACAGTGCAGCGGGGCACGCAGGGCAGCGGGGCGCGCTAAGTACGGGGCAGCAAGGCGCGCTGGACGCACAGGGCAGCAAGGCACGCGGGGCGCGCTGGGCAGCAAGACGCGCGGGGCGCGCGGGCAGCAAGACGCGCGGGGCTCGCGGGCAGCAGGGCGCGCTGGGCGCACAGGGCAGCAGGGCACGCGGGGCGCGCAGGGCAGCAGGATGCGTGGGGTGCACAGGGCAGGGCAGGGCAGCGCGAGACGGCAGCAGCTCTTGGGGCAGAAGTGACAGTGGGCCCTAAAAAAAACGGTCCTAGATCAGGACCTGCTCTGATGCCCTGTCAAAATCAATACAACAGAATGGATGAACTAGGAAACATTGAGATACAAGTACTAACCCTAATAAGGGTTGTACCCCATAAGGGCTATCCCACTACATGCTACAACAAGATATGCAATATAATCTGATAGTTTCCGTCATGAGTCAGCACAACCATAGCCCCCCAGGATGACATATATAGCCTTTGGAGAGACCACTTCGGGTCATTCTAGTGTCCACTTCCAAAAACGCATGCTTCCCCTTAGTCGGCCTCACATTCGATCGTCACGATCGCAAATGCCTTGTCGTCCTTACCTCTCATCGTCACCATCGCTATATATTATTATACCGCGATTCCCTCGATGTACCACCTTCCTAAAATTGAGGACTACCGGGTATCTTATGTGGCGGTGGCTGCTGTATTGGACCTTGATTTGTCATACCCCCTTTTTATCCGCCCTCTTTTTTCTTATAAGGTTGTTTCGAATCCATTTTCAACTGTCTTTCTTGATAGGAGGGAACCGTGCCGTGCATGACGCACGCAAGAGTAGAATACGAGGTGTGGTTGAGATTTCCGCATTGCACCTGATCAGCGTGCTTGGCACGTAATTTTGACCCTTGCTTTTTGGACATAATGGGAGCGGTTTGGCATTTTACAGATTGATCCTACCAAACACGTTATCGCGGGCACGTTATCGCGGGCTTGGTGTTCACTAAGAAAAAACAAATAATCCAATAGTATGTTGTGTAGGGTGAACCCCCCCCCCCCCCCCCTTCAAAATATACATTACGAAAAGATCCGGATGGTATATCCGACGGAATATGGTGGTGGAAAAGAATTGTGTAGTGTCAGAGTTCCACTGGTGACAAATACGGTACTGTATTTACTTATAATTGGCTATAAAATGGTGCCTATTGGTCCACACACACTTGCCAATTGACTCATTTGTCAAGATAGCAAGCAGAAAGAGAACAACAGAAGAGCGGTTTTGTCAGAATGTTGTATTTGTCTAGCCTGCAGTGGGGTACTCTATAGCGACTACAGTCCAATTTAGGGTTTCCTATATGTACTCAACTGCTTGCTAGTGCAACACCTTTCCTTCTCATTTCTTCTTGTTCTGTCAACATTCTCGCTAGCCCTAGGGCACAACCTCCTAGTACTCGTGTGGCCTAGGCTACTTAGCCTAGGCCCTACTCCTACTGTTTCTGACATGGTATCTAGAGCGAGCATGTTCCTGCCGCCTAGCTTAACGGGCCCACCAACTGCTTCCGGTGCCGTACTGTCCGTCGTGTGCCCCGTGGTGCGCGGCGCTGCATTTTCTTCCCGCCACGCGCTCGGAGTGCGTGGCGGCTTTTTTCTGCCCGCCGCGCGTTCGGGGCGCGTGGCGGTTTCACTGCCCGTCGCGGCGCCCTGCGAGGCGCCGCTCCTGCTCGACGCGGCGCCCCTAGGGCGTCGCCCCTGCTCGTCGCGGCGCCCCTGGGCGGCGTCCCTGCTCTTCACGACGCCCCTGCGAGACCCGCGCGGCGTCGCCCTGCTCGCCGCGACGCCCCTGCTCGACCCGCGCGGCGTCGCCCCTGCTCATCGCGGCGCCCCTGGGCGCCGTCCCTGCTCGTCGCGACGCCCCTGCGGGACCGGCGCGGCGTCGCCCGTGCTCGTCGCGGCGCCCCCTGGACGCCGCCCCTGGGGCGTCGCCCCTGCTCGTCGCGGCGCCCCCTGGACGCCGCCCCTGCTCGTCGCGGCACCCCTGGGGCGTCGCCCCTGCTCATCGCGGCGCCCCTGGGGCATCGCCTCTGCTCGTCGCGGCGCCCCTGGGTGCCGTCCCTGCTCGTGCAGCAGCCGCCCCTGGCCCCTGGAGCAGCCGACCCTGCAGCTACCCGCGCGCCGCTTTCTGTCTACCTGCGCGCCACTTTCTGCCTACCCGCGCGTCGCTTTCTGTCTACCCGCGCGCCACTTTCTGCCTACCCGCGCGCCGCTTTCTGTCTACCCGCGCGCCACTTTCTGCCTACCCGCGCGCCGCTTTCTGTCTACCTGCGCGCTGCTTTCTGCAGCCCGTGCATCACTTTCTGCCTACCCGCGCGCCGCTTTCTGTCTACCCGCGCGCCACTTTTTGCCTACCCACGCGCCGCTTTCTGTCTACCCGCGCGCCGCTTTCTGCAGCCCGTGCACCGCTCTGCTGCTGCCCGCGCCCTCGTGCGCTCTGCTGCTGCCCGCGCCCTCGTGCGCTCTGCTCTGCCCGCGCCCTCGTGCGCTCTGCTCTGCCCGCGCCCTCGTGCGCTCTGTCTCACCTGCGCCCTCGTGCGCTCTGCTCTGCCCGTTGCTGCCCGTGCCTGTGCTGCCTGTTGCCGCCCGTTGCTGCCCGTGCCTGTGCTGCCCGTTGCCGCCCGTTGCTGCCCGTGCCTGTGCTGCCTGTTGCCGCCCGTTGCTGCCCGTGCCTGTGCTGCCCGTTGCCGCCCGTTGCTGCCTGTGCCTGTGCTACCCGTTGCTGCCTGTTGCTGCCCGTGTCTGTGCTGCCCGTTGCCGCCTGTTGCTGCCCGTACCTGTGCTGCCCGTTGCCGCCCGTTGCTGCCCGTGCCTGTGCTGCCCGTTGCCGCCCGTTGCTGCCCGTGCCTGTGCTGCCCGTTGCCGCCCGTTGCTGCCCGTGCCTGTGCTGCCCGTTGCCGCCCGTTGCTGCCCGTGCCTGTGCTGCCCGTTGCTGCCTGTTGCTGCCCGTGCCTGTGCTGCCCGTTGCCGCCCGTTGCTGCCCGTGCGTGTGCTGCCCGTTGCCGCCCGTTGCTGCCTGTGCCTGTGCTGCCCGTTGCTGCCTGTTGCTGCCCGTGCCTGTGCTGCCCGTTGCCGCCTGTTGCTGCCCGTGCCTGTGCTGCCCGTTGCTGCCCGTGCCTATGCTGCCCGTTGCCGCCCGTTGCTGCCCGTGCCTATGCTGCCCGTTGCCGCCCGTTGCTACCCGTGCCTGTGCTGCCCGTTGCCGCCCGTTGCTGCCCGTGCCTGTGCTGCCCGTGCCTGGGCTGCCCGTTGCCGTCCGTTGCTGCCCGTGCCTATGCTGCCTGTTGCCGCCCGTTGCTGTCCGTGCCTGTGCTGCCCGTTGCCGCCCGTTGCTGCCCGTGCCTGTACTGCCTGTTGCCGCCCGTTGCTGCCTGTGCCTGTGCTGCCCGTTGCCGCCTGTTGCTGCCCGTGTCTGCACTGCCCTGCTCCGCGCTGTTGCCCTGCACGCGTGGCTGCCCTGCCCTGCTCCGCGCTGTTGCCTTGCACGCGCGGCTGCCCTGCCCTGCTCCGCGCTGTTGCCCTGCATGCGCGGCTGCCCTGCCCTGCTCCGCGCTGTTGCCTTGCACGCGCGGCTGCCCTGCTCTGCTCCGCGCTGTTGCCCTGCACGCGCGGCTGCCCGGCCCCCCACCCCGCACACCTGAGTTTGTTTACCGCACACCCGAATTCGCTTCCCGCACACTTTTGCGCGCTTCGCGCACACCTGAGCTCGCTTACCGCACACTCAGGGTATGGGGGTGACGGGTATGGGGGTGGCGGGTGTGTGAGCTGTTCCCTGCTGCTCCTCCTCCTCCGTCTCCCACTGCTGCAACTGCCGCTGAGGGGGGTGGGTGTGTGGGAGCCGAGGGAGTGGTGCTAGGGGGGTGACGTGGGAGTGAAGCTAGGGGTACAGCAAGGGGTGTGTGAAAGGGGGGTGGGACAGTTGGGGGTGGTTGAGCGGAGACTGCCGTCTTGTCGTCCGCAGCACCTGTAGTCCGGGGCGCTGTCCTGGTAGCCCAGTCGTAGCCAGCTGCGCCAGTCGCCCGTGGGTCCGTTGCTCCTGCCGCTCGTCTTAGCCGCGGAGCCAGTTACTCCAGTAGTCCGGGGCGCTGTTCCGGTAGCCGCTGTGCCAGTGTGACTCCTGTTGCCCGTGTGTCTGCAGCTTCAGCCGTCGCCTCCTATCTCCTCCTCTTACAGTCCCGCCTCCTCCTCCTCACTTGCCCTTTGTGATAGCCTCTAGCTTTGCTTATATTTGTGAACTATGAACTCCTGCTTGTTGTGCTGATTACACCCCACTTTGGCTATGGGGGTGTGTTAGAATGTTGTATTTGTCTAGCCTGCAGTGGGGTACTTTATAGCGAGTACAGTCCAATTTAGGGTTTCCTATATGTACTCAACTGCTTGCTAGTGCAACACCTTTCCTTCTCATTTCTTCTTGTTCTGTCAACATTCTCGCTAGCCCTAGGGCACAGCATCCTAGTACTCGTGTGGCCTAGGCTACTTAGACTAGGCCCTACTGTCAGATTTATATGACATAGCTACTGTAGGCTATAGTGGGGTAGCACATATGGGGTACAGTTTTCTAGGGTTTACATTTGTACCCAACTTTCCCTTAGTCAATTCATTCTCGTTTCTATTCTCACATGGTATCGAGCAGGTTCCCTCGTGGGAACTGTTCCTAGGGCCCACCAATTCGACATTTTTTTTCTGCCCGGAGCGCGCTCAGTCCTAGCCCGAGTCGCGCTCCCCCCCCCCTCCTTTTTTCTCGCCCCGTCGCGCCGCCCTAGCGGCCCTGTCGCCTGCCTTGCGGCCCTCGCGCCGCCCTTCCTGGCCCCGACCCGCCGCCCGGCGGCCTCGTCGCCTACCCCGCGGCCATCGCGCCGCCCTTACCTGTGCGGCCCCGCCACCTACCTGCGGCCCCGCCACCTACCTGCGGCCCCGCCACCTACCAGCGGCCCCGCCACCTACCCGCGGCCCCGCCATCTACCTGTGCGGCCCCGCCACCTACCTGCGGCCCCGCCACCTACCAGCGGCCCCGCCACCTACCCGCGGCCCCGCCACCTACCTGTACGGCCCCGCCACCTACCTGCTGGCCCCGCCACCTACCTGCTGGCCCTGCCACCTACCTTTGCGGCCCCGCCGCCTCCTCTCAGCGGCCCCGCCGCCTCCTCCCAGCGGCCCCGGACGCCGCCCTCTCAGCGGCCCCACCGAGCCGCCCAGCAGCCGAGCCGCCCAGCAGCCGAGCCGCCCAGCCGCCGAGCCGCCCAGCAGCCGAGCCGCCCAGCAGCCGAGCCGCCCAGCAGCCGCGCCGCCGAGCCGCCCAGCAGCCGAGCCGCCGAGCCGCCCAGCAGCCGAGCCGCCGAGCCGCCAAGCAGCCGAGCCGCCGAGCCGCCCAGCAGCCGAGCCGCCCTGCAGCCGAGCCGCCCGAGCCGCCCTGTCCGGTAAGAGCAGCGCCTCTTTCACAGCACTGCCCTCACCCTACTGTTTGCGCTGCTAGTCTACTGCTGTCATGGCTACCCCTAGTGTCCTCTCTTTTGACGCTGAGGGTCGGGCCATTGACTTTGACGTCTGGATAGATGACCTGCAGCTTTTCTTACAGTGCGATAGGGCAGACGGCCTCTCCCTCTTTGACCTCACTTCTGGTGCCTCTCCTGCCCCCGCTGCTGATGCTGACGCCACTGTTCGCTCACAGTGGGCCACGCGCGATGCTGCTGCACGTCTTGCTGTGCGTCGCCACCTGCCTACCTCTGAGCGTGCGCACTTTAGCCAGTACAAGAGTGCTCACACCTTGTACGACGCTGTAGTTGCGCGCTACTCCTCCCCTGCCACTGCTGCACTGAGCCGCCTCATGCTACCGTACCTCTTCCCTGACCTTGCTGCCTTTCCCACAGTCGCTGACCTCATTACGCACCTCCGCACTAGTGACACTCGCTACCGCGCTGCGCTTCCTGCTGAGTTCTGCGCCAAGAACCCCCCCCCCATATACATCACCCTCTACTACATAGTCACCCGTCTCCCTGACTCCCTTCGCGTAGTCAGGGAGCACTTCCTCTCAGTTTGCCCCACCACTCTCACCGTTGACCTCCTCGAGAAGGCCCTCCTAGCAGCAGAAAAGAGCATACTAGCTGTAGGAGCCTCTCGTGGTGACCCTCGCACCCCCATCTTTGAGGGGTGTTCCCCCTCTCCTCTTTTGCCCTCTGTTGCCTCTGCTGCTGCGGCCGACCTCGTTGGTCTCGAGTCGGTCGGCGCTGCGTCTGCCCCGAGCGGGAGACGCCGCACCGGCAAGGGCAAGGGGGGCAAGGGTGCTGGAGGGGCTGGCGGGGGTGGCGGAGGTAGCGGTGGCGGCAGTGGAGGGGGTGGGGGTGGTGGTGGGAGTGGTGGCGGGGGTGGAGGTGTCGGTGGCGGCAGTGGAGGCGGAGGCGGCGGCGGCGGTGGCGGTGGGAGCGGAGGTGGCGGAGGTGGCGGCGGTGGAGGAGGCGGCGGCGGAGGAGGTGGAGCTGGTCAGGGTGGCGCTGGGCAGAGGGTCGGCTCCGGTGGTGGTCAGCGCCAGCAGCAGCAGCAGCAGCGGCAGCAGCGCACTCGTGACATCCCCCCCCCTCAGCAGCTCCGTGAGTGGTACGCTGCACGCCAGCGGGGTGGGGGTACTGGTCCGTGCACCTACGTCCTACGCACCGGCGACCGCGCGGGTGAGCAGTGCTGGGGTGCGCACTCCACCCAGCGCTGCTTTGGCCGCCTGACGGACGCTTGGTGTCACCAGTTCCCTGAGGCCACTGAGATCCCCCGCTGGGGCGAGCTGTCTAGGGCGGGTGTAGCTGTCTTTGACCTTGACTTTGATGCTATTCTTGCTGCCATGTATGCTGTGACTATTAGTGATGAGGGTGACTGTTACCGGTGTTTTCCGCCCGACCCGGGCATTGAGACTGCTGCTCTAGGTACTGGTGAGGCTGCTGCTCTAGGTGCTGGCGAGGCTGCTGCTCTAGGGAAGAGCAGGAAGAGAGGACTCAGGAGGAGTAGGCAAAGAGGCACGCAGAGGAGCAGTGGACGGACGCAGAGACATCCGGTGCGTGCCAGGGACAGGAGGAGGACGCTGACGCGAACCACGGCCACTAGTGCGAGTAAGACGGACAGGCGACGCAGGGCGAGACGCAGGCTCACGACGCTCAGCCAGACCTCCAGTAGGACCAGTGTAGGGAGAAGGAGCGGGCAGTGTGAAGGCCGGCTGTAACTGTAACTGGGACGGGACAGGCTGTGGACACTCTAAGGGAGGAGGAGGACCAGTAGAAGGCGGGAGACCAAGAACCTGCTGAAGGAGCGGAACGAAGTACGGCCGAGGCCGCGCGGCGACTCCAGACACAGCAGGGACAGCACCAGTACCCCCAGCGGCAGCACCAGCGCCAGCAGCACCTCCAGCTCCAGTACCTCCAGCAGCACCAGGAGCACCCCCAGCAGGACCGCCTCCAGGACCGACAGCAGTAGCCTCAGCGCCAACACCCTCAGCAGCTCCAGCTCCAGGCGTACCCGCAGGCCCAGCAGCTCCAGTACTCCCAGTACGAGCACCTCCGGGACCCGCGGCACCAGCACCCGCAGCAGTCGACGAACCTCCAGCTCCAGCAGCACGCCTCCAGCGTCGGGCAAACCACTCTCGCAGCTTCTGTGGAGAGAGTGGCTCCCGCCGAGACGAAGCACCCGGAGAACCTCCAGGCTCAGCACCGCCAGACGCCACACGAGCAGGCCCAGCTCCCTCAGGCTCCGCACCCCCAGGCTCAGCACCTCCAGGCGTAGCACCCCCAGGCTCAGCACCCCCAGGCTCAGCACCCCCAGGCTCAGCACCCCCAGTAGTAGCACCCCCAGGCTCAGCACCCCCAGGCTCAGCACCCCCAGTAGTAGCACCCTCAAGCTCAGCACCCCCAGGCGTAGCACCCACACGCTCAGCACCCCCAGAGTCAGCACCCCCAGGCTCAGCACCCTCAGCAGCACCAGAGTCACCAGTAACCTCGACAGGCTCGACTGCGTCTACCTGGGACACACCTGAAGGGGCAGGACCCTGAGGGGGGAGGGGGTCTACCGGGGGGGGACCTGGCACAAGGAAGAGCGGTGGCGGGGGGAGGGACGGAGTGCGGTAGGGGAAGAGGCGGTAGTAGGGGACCGACTCGTCAAACGTGACGTCCTGGGAGGACAGAACACGGCGAGAGGTGGGGTGGTAGAACTGCCACCCTGGCGCGTCAGGGGGGAAGCCAAGGAAGACGCAAGGAGCAGCACGAGGGGACAGCTTGTCCGCAGACAAGTCGCGGACAAACGCCCGAGATCCCCAGACACGGAACGCAGACGCATCGCCAACCTTCCCCGTCCACAGCAAAGCTGGGGAGGTCTCCGGCATGGAGACCCTGGGGTGAAGGTTGGTCTGATGCGCCGCGTACCGAACCGCAAACGGCCACAGAAAATGGGGGGCAGCCGCATGCATCATGGACGTACGGGCGACGTCCATGACCATGCCAATGCGGCGCTCAGCAAGCCCATTTTGCTGTGGAGAGTCCGGAAGCGTGAATGTCT